ACTATTAAAATAAAAATTTTTATTTTACAAAAACAAAAAAAAAATCATCTGTGGGGAACTCTGGTGGTCTAGTGGCAAGAAGCTGCACTGCAATCCCAGAGGTGCACAGTTTGAATCCACCAGGTTCTCTGCTGGAGAAGGAGGGACAATCTCCTCCTGTACCAGTCAGATCCGATTTGGTCACACACACACACACATAAAATAAAAATTAAAATTAAAAGAAGAAATTAAAATCTGTAGTCTTTTCATCTCACATTCTAATTTTCAACCACTGTGTTGGAATTTTTACCCACTGTTCCTTTTATACCTTTTTTAGTATCATCATTGATTTTTCAGCTGACAAATATACCAAATCCAGGGTTTACTTTCCTGCTCGTATGTGACTTCTCTGCCATACCTCTCTACCATTCTGTTTGCAAATTTTTCCTCTCTTGATTTAAATACCAGTCAATTATGTACTTTCTTTTAATTATTAGACCCTTCTCAGTTTTTTCAGATTTTTTTACCTTAATCTGCTCTTTAAAAAATAGTGCATCTTGACATCTTTCTTCATTTTCTTCTTCTCACTTTATCCACATGATATGAGGGATTTAACTTGAGGGATTTATCTGCAGGGAAAATGCTACTATAGATGGCTCCAAAAGATCTATAGTTCTGACTTCTGTTCAGAGCTTCAGACAGACCGTTGTGCTCAAAAAAACCTTCCATGGATGTCCCACATACACCTCAGACTCAATCTGAGGTAATTGTTTGTCTACAGACCTTTTTTCTCTTTTATGGTGAATTCTATAAAGTTTAAAAACTTTTGTTGCTGTGTGAAAATGTTACTGTTATTTGACTTATTTATACTTTATCAACTCGAAGAGCCACTTATTTAAATCTGGACTCCAATCTTCAAAATATTGTCGTTGTTGTTGTTATGTGCTGTCGAGTTCCTTGCAACTCATAGCGACCCTATGTACAACAGCCCTAAACTCTGCTCTGTCCTGTGCCAATCGCACTGTCTCTGACACTCCCATCCGGACTATCCCAGTCACTGAATCAATCCACCTCATAGAGGGCCTTCCCCTCCTGCGCTGTCCCTCCACCCTCCCAAGCATGATGTCCCTCTCCAAGGACTGGTCTCTCCTTACAACATGTCCAAAGTATGTTAGACGGAGCCTCAGAATCCTTGCCTCCAAGGAGCCACCCGGTTTAACCCTTTCCAGGACAAATCTGTTTGTTTTCCTAGCTGTCCCTGGTATTCTCAATACTCTTCTCGAGCATCACAGCTCAAAGGCATCAATTCTCCTATCCTAAATCTTCTCTAAATAATTCAAAATATTAAATCATGTATTCACAGCCTTTCATATATTCATTGTCTTTTGCTTAGGCAATTGCTCTGTGGATCTTCCTTTTCTGGCTAACTACTTTTCCTCCTTATGTGATTATCTAAAGAACTAAAAGTTCCCAGAAGCATTACTATGCTGAAATATAGTTCTTTGTTTTTATATCTCTCCTTTACAATACATTTAAAAACCATTGACAAGTGGTGCATTTTCCCTCTTTGAACTTCCCATGCCCAAATCAGTGTCACAATATCAGTATAGTCTACTCATCTTACCTCTTCTGGTCAAATATCAGAGGTAATTCATACTTTTGCTTTTTATCTGTGAGCTTGCTTTCCTCTTTTATTTCTATGGGGTATTCACTAACATCACAAGGTAAGATGAAATCAATTGGTTGTGATAATTCAAAGATCCTTCTCTGCCCAAAATATCCACAGTAATGACCATTGAGGGCCTGCCACACCCTAAGGGAAGACAAAGGGGGGAGGAAGTGAGGAATTGAAGAATTGAGGAAATCAGCAAGTTACTTTGTTCAGTGGATTATACTATATAGGTTCTCATTGGTTCACCTGGGATTTTTAACTAGAGTCTAGGGATCTTCCTATTAAATACTATTCAACCAGTCATAACATAGACCTTTTTTATCAGTGAGAACTCTGACCCAAAACCACTGTGGGGAAACAGTATTGTTTGAATTTGGTGGTCTAGTGGTGAGAAGCCATGCTCCCATCCCAAAGGCATGTGACACAAAGCCACAAATTGCTCCAAGGGAGAAGGACGAGCCATCTCCTCTCATGTGATTCAATGCTTTTGAAAACCTACCTGCTGGAGGGTCAGCTATGAGTCAGTTTGTCTCAACAGCACACAGCCACAACAACACAATAGAAATTTATTGAAACAAGAACCATATTTTTTTATTTATTTAATAATTTTAATGAACATTTACAAAGAATTTTAATTTCCATTCATTCATTGCTGCACTTTTCTACCCACCCAGCCCTCTCCCCCCGCCCCCCAGGAGAACCATATTTTTCCTATGAGAACACACTGCCCACTCATACTAACCAGAACCTACATTGACAATGTATTAATTTAATTTGAGATAAGTATGTCACACTGCCTACTTTCTGTACCAGACAGAGTCAACAGCACTTGTGGAAGGAGACACCTAGTACTGCCTTAACTTTATCAAAGCCTCCCAACTTTCACATTTAATTCTTACATTGTGGCAGTACCATACCAATTTTTACTATTGAGTTCTGGAATAAAATGGCAAAATGATGCATACCCATATACATTATTTCACCTTCCATTTGCTCTAAGGGAACTTTCTAAAGAGCTTAGATGGTTTAAAGCACTGGAGTAATAGTAGCAGCCATGTAACAGTGTACCAAAGTGTGTGTGTGTGTATACATATATATATATTTTTTTTCCAGAACCTCATTCTCTCTTTATTTCGTGAACATAACAAAGAAATTCACTTTGGTAAGTTCTTCTTCCATGAAAAAATATCTTGCTTTCAAAGCACACCAATAAATATTTATATTACAATCACTTTAACTTAATCAGACACACAGAAGGTAATTTTACATTGCTAAATCTTTATAGATAAGAAAACAATTTGACTTATAGTTTATATTGTAATCTCAATCCATTTTTGCCTTCAAATTTTGTGAACCAGTATTACAAATAATATTTTGCCAAATATACATTGCAAATATAGTACCCAAGTGAATTATTATAGGCACTTAACATTACAATATAGTCATAACAAACTGCAGCTGCTCACACTATCCAGAGCTTCCCAGAAGGTGGGAGAAATGGCATGACCTCTGCACATTAATTTATTTCCAGAGTTTCAAATGCATTGAATAATTGCTTGTGCCTCAAGATAGTATTAGTCAAATATAAACCCAACCTCCTCCTTTAAAATATCTGCATAAACCCTGACTTGGCTCTTTGTTAGTATAATCACAGAAAACATTTCTTTAAGGAGATTGAAGATTAACCTGTATACCAAATGATTTACTGAAGAAAATTTGAGATTTTTCAACTTAGCTGGTACATTAAAAAGTAAAAGACTTGATCTGTAATTATGAAACAAAGACAACCTCCATAATGCCAAGGTTAAAAAAAAATAAAATAAAAGTATTCTACCACATTTAAAACATGTCCCTCTTTGAAGACTAAGTCAAGTAAATTTCTTGTTCTATTAAAAATATATGTAATCATTAAAATGCTATGTTACACTCACTATAATGTGTTTTGCCATCAGGCATGTTCAGATATTCCACAGGAATGTTAAATGGAACATCAAAGTATATTTTATGGAAAGGTAGAACAGTATGTTTAATCTTCTTTTTTGGAAGAAGGATGGGCAATCTCCTCCCGTGTGATTAACTTCCTCTTAAAACCCACTGGAGGGTCAGCTATGGGCTGATTCTGACTCTATAATACACTACCACAACAACAATCCTATTTTTTAATTTCCATCTCTGGGTAGAAAATGACATAAGAGGAAGACAAGCTAAGAGAACTGGGAGTAGATTCCCAGCTCCAAGCGGTAAAATATGAGAGAATCAATTGGAATTTTTCACAACTGATTGTATCCTGTGAAATGAATGTGTCTTAGAGCATGAAAGAAGAAGCAGTGGTTCTGAACAGAACAAAGGAATATGATATGATTTAAAATCAGGACAGGTATGCATCAGAGCTGTGTCCTATCACTATATTTGTTCAATATGTATGCGGAAGGAATCATCCAAGAAGTTGTACTATATGAAGAAGAATGTGGTTTCAGGATAGGAAGAAGACTCATTAACAATCTGTGATATTCAGAAAGCACAACACTCCTTGCTGAAAGTGAAGAGAACTTGAAGCACTTACAGAAGGTCAAAAACTTTATCCTTCAGCATGATTTATATCTCTACATCAAGAAAACAAAAGTCCTCATCACTGGATCACTAGGCAATAGATAGGGAAAAGATTGACATTGTTAATGACTTCATTTTATTTGGATCCAGTACCACTAATCATAGCACCTGCAGTCAAGAAATCAAAATACATGTTGCAAAAAAAAAAAAAAAAAGAAAAAGAAACAAAATACATGTTGCATTTGGAAAATCAAGAATCTCTCCAAAGTGCTAACTATCATTAAAGACTAAAGTGTGCCTGATGTATATGCCATGGTATTTTCAATTCTTTGCATGCATCTGAAAGTTGGACAATGAGTAAGGAAAACAGAAGAATCAATGCCTTTGAGTTAGAGAGTTTATGAAGAGCATTGAATGCACCATTTAGAACTGCCTGAAGAAGAAACAAATCTGCCTTGGAGAAAACGCATCCATGGTGTTCCTCTGTGGTAAAGATGGTGAAACTTCTTATTGCATTCTTGGGCATGTGGAAGGCGCCAACCGTTAGGAAAAAAACAGAGGGTTAGCAAAAGAGATGTGACTTTGAACAAGTCGGACAGACCTAGTGACTGTAACGGTGGGCTGGAACCTGGCAGAGAGCAGGATGATGGTGTGGGCAAGGGCAAAGCTTTGATCTGTCGTTCAGAGGGTCGCTATGAGTAGTAATTGACGCAACAGCACCCAACAACTATAGTATATGCCAGAAATTTTAATGCCATTTGTGACATCTTTTGTTACTTCTCTCTCTGTTCCAGTTAAAGTTCACATCTTAATGATTTTACTTCCTAGGTGCGCCTGATCCGAATTATAGTCTTCACAATTATGTTGGACATCAGAGAGTTGGACAGTGAATAGGGCTGATAGAAAGAGATAGATAGATGCCTTTGAGCTGTGGTGCTGGAGAAGAGTGTTGAATATACCATGGACTGCTAGGAGAACAAACAGGTTTGTCCTGGAGAGGGTGAAGCCAGAGTGTTCCCTGGAGCCAAGGATTCTGAAGCTTCGTCTGACATATTTTGGGCATGTTGCAAGGAGGTCCTTGGAAAGGGACATCATGTTTGGCAGAGTGGAGGGGAGGAGAAGGAGAGGAAGACCTTTGGTGAGATGGATCGATTCTGTGACTGGAGTGGTGGGAGTAAGTGCATTTGAGATGGCTAGGTTGGCACAGGATAGAACAGCATTTAGAGCTCTTGTACACAGGATCGTTATGAGTCACAAGCTAGTCGATGGCATATAACAACAACAGCAGATCACTTTCAAATTCGAACTCCACATTTTTCACTCTAACTACTTAGCTACTCTGCCATCATGGGTAGTATCTCTTCAAGATGTAAATCATACCATGTAAATGCTCTGCTTTTAATCTTTCAAATTCCTTGTAAGACAAATAACTACATACACTTTTTACAATGTCGACTTGAAACTGCAAGCCCTGGCCACTTCCAAACTCATTAACCTCAAATTCACATAGCTAGCCAGGGACTGCAGATATCAAGTCTAGTGTCTCTTAAGAACTATAATGCACATTGTGGGACGAGTGGATTGGAGGGCAGGAAGAAAAATGTGCAACAACGAATGAATAAAAACTCATTAAAATAACAATAAAATTTAGAAAAGAAAAAAACCCTTAAGGAAATGTTTGTGTACTGAGACAATCTATTTTGGCAATTAATAGGGATAGGAAGGGAAGGAAGGAGAGTAAAATGTAATAAATCAATAGATTGAGTGAAGGGAACAGCAATATACAATGAAGGTAGATTAGACATTGTAATTAATGAATTTAATGAATCAATGATAATATTATAAAACAAAATGTCTATGAATATATGAAAAAAAACAGTATGATTTGTTTCTTCATTCAAAATGAAAAACATTTTAAAAAATCAAAACAGAAAACGAAATCTTGTCATATTTAACCTTTATCCCTCTATTACCCAATTTGCAAGCTCACTGCCCTAAGTTATTTCTAATCTTTCATCTTCATCTGTTTGTTTAGTCTAGGTGAATGGTATAAGTACAGTTCTTTTGCAACTGACTACATCCACCCTATATTTTTATCCATGCAATAGTCCATTCCTTTCTAGAATAAATAATCCATTAGATAAAAAAATAATTATAACATACAGATTTTTGTTCATTTTCAATAAGTTTAAACTCTTAAAGACACTTTGGAGCCTATCTGCTTCTTTCGGTTTTATGTCATTCCATCCTGTTAAATGGATAATTCATTATCATAATTTTGTTGTTGTATGCAGTAGAGGCAGAGCTAACGTATAGTTCATCCTGCCATGAGTTTTCAGAGGCAGTAAACTGCATGGGAGGAGAATGCCCATCCTTCTTCTGTAAAGCAGCTGGTGGATTTGAACTGCATGACTTTGGAGTTACAGTGCAGCTTCTTAACACTGGACCACCAGAGCTCCCTTATAATTTTAGGACATTTTAATATGCAACATTGATTTTCAAGAAATTCCATGAAGTTTTCTCTCTGTCTCTGCATTTTGTATTTTGTATATGCTTTTTAGCATCATTGAGGCAATTAAAAACAAACAGGATTTGGAAAATCAATCTCTTTGCTAATGAAATAATTAGTTGAGTTTTACTTTTCTGAACACCAGTTGTTTCTTGACTTCCAACCCTGTATCTTCTTCTGTGATCTTGCCTGGGCTTTGGTCTATCTCTCAGAGCTTAATTCTTTAAAATATAAGAAAACCTCATTTCTCTTTAAAGAATCATTGAACTTTCTATCACAGACAAGAGTGCCTGTGACATCCCACCTCTCAGTACAGAAAAGAATGCAAAATTCATGGCCATCTCCTGAAAAACTCTTTTAAACCCCTATTTTTAAATTTTTAAAATTTATTTTATTTTTTAGTCAACTTCCTGAGACTATTATTTAGGCAATCAATATACCTTAAGTTGAGGTAAAATCCTCCACCTCCCCCAGCACTCACAGCACACAGGTCCATACCTCACAGAGCCATCAACGGAGGCGGTCAGTACCACTTGCTTGTCTTCCACATAGACAACTTGGACAATTTCTAAAGCATGTGCACGCCAGGAAAGCAGCTGCTTGAACTTCTAAATGGCAGATATCAAAGCATATCATTTGAAATAAGTATGTACGACTCTAAATTCTATCTTGGGCAAAATGACCAAATTAGACCTAAATGTACAGTGTATGGTATAAACAACTACATAACATCCTTAAGTCTGTTTAAGTTCTTCCTCTCAATTAGCACCCCTCTTGATTTGTTGTTGTAAGGTGCCATCAAGCTGAGTATGACCCATAGCAACCCTATGAACAAGAGTTCTGAACCCTGTCCTATCCTGTGCCATCCCCTCACTTCCTGACACATTAGAGCCCTTTGAGGCAGTCACCATATCAATTCACCTGGTTGAGGGTCTTCCTCTCCTTTGCCAACCCTCTCCGAGGAATATCCTCTTCTAGCAACATGCCCAAAATATGTGAAGTGAAGCCTTATTGTCTTTGCCTCCAAAGAGAACTCTGGCTGCACCCTCTCCAAGATATATTTGTTTGTTCTTTTGTCAGTCCATGAAATGTTCAGTGCTATTCTCCAACACCACAGCTCAGAGGTATCAATTCTTCTTCTGTCATCCTTATTCATTGTCCAGCTCTCAGATGCATAGCAAGTGATTGGAAAGAACTTCACCTGCATCAGACACACCTTAATCCTCAAACTGACATAATTTCTCCTCAATAATTTGGAAAGGTCTCTAACTGCAGACTTTCCCAATGCAATATGCCTCTTGATTTTCTGACTGCTGTACCAAGGGTGTTAATTGTGGATCCAAGCAAGATGAAGTTGTTGACAGTTTAAATTTTTTCTCCATCTATCACGATGTTGCTTATCACTCCATTGGTAAGTATCTTTGTTTTCTTGACATTGAGATGAAATCCATATTGAAGTCTGTATTCTTTGATATTCTGCAACAAGTACTTCAAGTCCTCCTCATTTTTAGCAAGCAACAAGGTTGATTTGTTAGTCATTTAAAATTTCATTCCTAATTATTTATTAATATGTACATAACCTTGGAGGAGGGACTAGCTTATGTTTTTAACAACTCATTTAATAGATAATTATGAAGTCACTTGGTTGAGGGTTAGTTGATGGGAAAATGAGAGATAAGACCTGAGAGAAGGGTTGTCATTAGTTGGAATGATTAATTGTATTTAGGATGAGAGGAAGAGGGCTGAAAGGTAAAGGCTCAAAGGGACGTTATAGAAAGAGACTTTTTCAGGTTTCCATTTTCTCTAAAAGTATGTCTGGCTACTTATTAATTTATAGGTAGTGGGGAGAGGACAAAAGAAGCCATATATCATAAGGAATGAAAAGAAATAGGCCCAACTCATTCTATTTCAATAACATCATGAAGCTTGACTAGAATGTTCTTCAAGAGCCCTAAGTAAGTGGGCCTCGGAGATATTAAGACAACTAGTTAACCGTCCATCTATATATTATCTAGTTATAATCAACATTCTTACCTTTTCATCATGAGGTAGATCTAGGAAGGAACCGATACTGCAAAGGATAACGTGTCCTTCTGTATAAAATGTAAATATTTAACAGTTTAGAACTTTTGATTAAACATCCTATTATCTAAATAAATACTACCTAGATGGTCAAGTAGTTCTGATTAAGACATTTATAATGGTAAATAAAACTGAAAATTAAAACCAGAAATGAAAGTTTCTATAATTGTCTGTATGTAGCAATCATTTTTAAAGTTAGGGTTAATAAGCCATAATGTAGTTACGTAATCCACTCAGTCAAAATTCCTATTAGTCAGACCAGATGAAAACAGAAAAACATATTGTAGTTTTTAGGTGCAGCTGAGTTGACTATGATTTATAGTGGCCCTAAGAACAACAGATTAAAACCTTGCCTATCTTGCCCTGTACTTAACAAACTCCATCATGCTGAAGCTCACTGTTACAGTCAATGTACTTCACTGAGGGTCTTCTCCACTTCCTTTACTTTTCCAGGTATGATGGTTTTTACCAAGGACTAGTGCCTCCTGATAACACGCCCAAAGTCTTTGAAGCCAAGTTTGACCATCCTTGCTTCAAAGGAGCACCCCTGTTGCACTTCCTCTAAGACCACTGCTAAACGGAGCCCAAACGGGTATAGAGCCCTTCAGCCTACAATTCAAATGATGCTTTTGAAAACTTCATGTTAAGAAGCAGCAGCAACTGTGGACATTAAAAAATACTGGCCAGATGATCCTCATAGAAGTTCTTTGAACATCTGTTCATGCAGAGAAAAGGAAGCTTGAGGCCAAAATAAGGAACTTGGTAGGTTAAGTGTTAGAGTGTTCATTGAAAGGTTGGTACCTGAACCTACTATCTAATCCTTGGGATAAAGAAAGGGCATCCTGCAGCCTTGGAAACCCGGTGGAGGGTTGCCATGAGGTAGACTGAATTGCATAGTAGTGGGTCAAGGGGAGAGTTTAAGAGGACCAGCCCAAGAACCTGACTTGCTGCTGTTGAGGTGATTCTCACTCACAGTGACCCAGCAGAACAGATGGTACTTATATAACTACCTCCTATGGTTTCCATGGACTGTCAAGAGAACTAACAACTTTGTCCTGGAGAGGGTGAAACCATACTGGATTGAATCCATATTGAAGGACTGAAACCAGGTTACTGCTTCGGAAATTAGGATTTTGAGCCTCTATCTCACATATTTTGGAAATGGTGCCAGGAGGGACCAGTCCTTGGAGGACATCGTAGTTGGGAAGGTATAGGGACAGCACAGGAGAGAGAAAATCTGGGTGAGATAGCTGGATACAGTGACTGTGGCAATGAAGGCAGATGTGTCAGAGATGGTGAGGTTGGTTCAGGATAGGGCAAGGTTCACAGTTATTATTCATAAAGTAGCGATTAGTCAACTTGATGGCACATAAGAACAACAATATAGGATATCCAATGCTGCAATTGTCACTGAAGCAGAATGTTTTATTTTTGACTCACAAATTAATTTGGGTTCAAACCATCCACCTTTCAGTTAGCAGCTGAGCTAAACACTGTGAAAACAGGGTTCACCTTTAGCTATAATATAGACAAGGCTGGATCAAATTCCAGATGGCAAAAACTACAAACCTCAAGAAGTAAAATAGGTTATATGGTAGGAATGTGTCCTGGGCAAATAACCACCATCACCCAGTAAAGAGACTCAAACTATGAGAGATGAGGCTCATGTATGAAGCAGCTGGATTCTGAAAAGTGGGATCTCTTGTTTTGGTGAGAGTCTGGAGTGGACTGTTAGGTGTGGTTTGTTTTTTTTTTTTGTTTTTTTGTTTGTTTGTTCATAATTGGGTGTGAGCTGATTGGATCTGCCAGGTTTAGCTAACAATGAGTTGTAGGCCGGAAGCCTCTTGGTTTAGAGTCAATGAGGACCTGATGATCAGGCTTTGTATTTAAAAGGTGGCTGGAATGGATTAAGTCTCCAGTTTGGAGGCTCATGTGTGAAGCAGTTGAATTCTGGAAAGTGGGTTCTTTTAGTCTGGTGAGAGTCCGGTGTAGACTGATTGTTTTGGTTCCCCCCTCCATTCACAATCAGGTGTGAGCTACTTGGATTTGTTGGGTTTAATTAACTGTCAGGGCCTGGCTAACCTACAAAGCAGGATCAGCATGCATAGTAAAAACAGCAGGACCACTCACCTTGGCTTGACCATCCTTTCTACAGTAAACAACTCCAGGAAGCAGTATGCTAATGAATAAGGAGGGACCAAAGGCCTCAGAATTCTAGGAATGTGATACCTTCTTGTTTTCCAATAGATATCATAGGATATCCTGGAAGATGTCTTTGTTTTGTGTGAATGTCTGGGAATGTTCCTATCAGTCAATATCTCAGATAAGAGATAATGCGATTACCTCTGCAGGCATGTTCCTAAGACATATATATACCCTTGCCAGAATATTAAACTTGCTATTTGTCATCAGCAATTAGCCTCTCCACATCTTCATTTCAACCTGGTGCCTCCTTTTGGCGGAATTCTCCTGACGTATAGGGGCTGGATCCCTAATAATTAACAATGAGAATATTAATAATATTGTTCCATTAATTTCCGCACTTTGTTGGGTCACCTTTCTTTGGAATGGGAGCAAATATAGATTTGTTCCAATCAGTTGGCTTGGTGATCGTTCTCCAGATTTCTTGGCACAACTTGGTGAGCACATCCGGGGCAGCATTTGTTGAAATATGTCAACTGGTATTCTGTAGCCTCTTGAATAGTCTGTACTGCATATAGATTGAAAGATATACAGACAGGATACATCCCTGGCAGACACCCTTCCCACTTTTGAACCATGCAGTGTCTCCTTGCTCTGTTCCGACTACTGCTTCTTGGTTCAAGTATAAGTTTTACATAAGCACAATCAAGTGTTCAGGGATTCCCATTCTTCTCAGAGTCAACCACAGTTTGTTGTGATCCACACAGTCAAAAGCCTTTGCATAGTCAATGAAACACAGAGAGACATTCTTCTGGTATTCTCTACTTTCTGTCAAGATCCATCTAACATTAGCTATAATGTCCCTAGTACCACAGCCTCTTCTAAACCCAGCCTGCACATATGGCAGTTCTCTGTTGATGTGTTGCTCCAGTCGTTTTGGGATAATTTTCAGCAGGATCTTGCTTGCATGTGATATTAATGATATTGTTTTATAATTTCCACACTCTGTCACATCACCCTGGGAATGGGAACAAATACCAGTCTCTTTCAGTCATTTGGCCAGGTGTCTGTCCTCCAGATTTCCTGGTACAACAACTTAGTGAGCACATCCTGGGCAGCGTCTGTTTGTTGAAATATGCCAATTAGTATGCCGTCAACTCCTGGTGCCTTGCTTTTCTTTGCCAATTCTTTCAGAGAAGCTTGAACTTGCTCCTTCATCACAGGCTCATAGGTTGATTCCTGAAATTCTTCTGTCAGCCAATTCTTTCTGATACAGTGACACTGTGTACTCCTTCCATATTCTTTTAATGCTTCTTGGATCATCTAACATTCTGCCCAAAGCATCTTTAAGTATTGCCACTCATGGATTGAATTTGTTTTTCAATTCCTTCAGCTTAAGAAATGCTGAGCGAGTTCGGCCCTTTTGATTTTCTGACTCCAGCTCTTCGCACAGTTCATTAGTATACCTTGCTTTGTCAGCCCGAGTTGCCCTTTGGAATTTTCTGTTCAACTCTTTAATTTCTTGTTTTCTTCCTTTAGCTTTGACTTCTCGGTGCTCTAATACAATATTCAGTCTCATCTGACATCCATCTTGGTCTTTTCTTTCTCTTCTGCTTTTTAAATGATCTTTTGCCACAATTTGTTGTGTTTTACACAGTCAAATGCCTTTGCACAGTCAACAAAACATAGACATTCCTCTAATACTCTCTGCTTTCTGCCAAGATCCATCTGGCATTTGCGACAATGTACCTAGTGCCACAGCCTCTTGTGAACCGAGCTTGTATTTCTGGTGGTTAGTTTTTTGTTGATGTACTTGTTTTAGTAGCTTTTGGGTGATCTTTAGCAGGATTTTGCTTCTGTGTGATATCAGTGATGTCATTTGATAATTTTCACACTCTTATTAGATCACCCGTTTTGGGGGGGAATGAGAATAAATATGGATCTCTTCCAGTACGTTGACCAGGTAGTTGTCCTCCAGATTTCTTGGAACAGCTTGATAAGCACATCCAGGGTTGCATTTGTTTGTGAAATATGTCAATTGACATTCCATCAATTCCTGGGGCTTTGTTTTTTGCCATTTCCTTCAAAGCAGCTTGAACTTTCTCCTTCATCCCATTGTCTCTTGATCAGATGGTGTTTTTTTTTCCATTAAATTCTTCTGTATGTCAGCCAATTCTTTTTGGTATAGTGACTCTGTATACTCCTTCCATCTTTTTTTTTGGTTTTGTTTTCCTGGTTCCTTCAATATGCTTTCAATAGCATTCGTTAAGTATTGTAACTCAAGGCTTGAATTTGTTCTTCAGTTCCTTTTCTAATAATAATAAATGTAATTATAAGCAATTATTTTCAATGTTATCCAAAAGAACTGAATAATTGGTAGGGCAAATGGTTTATTGTAGCTTTTGTGGAAAAGGGAACTCTAGTGGCTTATGGGAAGGAATTGCACAAACATCAGTGCACACGGTTTGACTCCATCAGCTGTTCCTCAGGAGAAAGATAGGCAATCTTCTCCCTTATGATTCATTGTCTCTGAAAATGCTCTAGGGCATCAGCTATGGGCCAGTCCTGTCTCAATGGTACACATTAACAACCATAACAATGTTCCAGAGCAAGCTTCGAAGTCTTTTCTGATACTCATTTTTGTATTTTCTTTCTTCTCTGTCTTTTAAATGATATAAACCACTTTTTAAAAATATCATGTCCTTGTCACAGCTCATCTGGAATTCAGTCATTAGTGTTCAAATCATTGAATCTATTCTTGAGATATTCTCTAAATCCAGGTGGGATAGACTACAGATCTTTGCACAATCAATAATCATGGAAGCAGCAGGAAACACAACAAACAATATCTTGCACTAGACACATCTGTCATGAATCTCTTTAAAGTACTCAAGAGCAGTTTAATGATGTTACTTTAAAGACTGAGGTGCTTCTGACCCAGGCTATGATATTGAAATTTATTTTATATGCATGTAAAAGTTTGACAGTGAACAAAGAAGACCAAAGAATAATTGATGCCTTTGAGTTGTGGTATTAGTGAAGATTGTTGTATATACCATAAACTGTCAAAAGACCAAACAAATCTATCTTGGAAGAAGTACATTCAGAGTGGCCCTTAGATGAGAGAATTCTGAGTCTTGGTCTCATATACTTTGAATAGGCTAACTGAGGAAACAATCCTTGCAAGGTGACACATTTCTTGGAAAAATGAAGGGTCAGAGGAGAAGAGGAAGACCCTCAACAAGATGGACCAGCACAGCAGAGATGGTGAGGATGGGACATAGGACCCCTGAGCCACAGGACATTAGCCACAGAACTGATGGCACCTAACAATAATGTTGAGAATAAAGAATTCACTTTCCCCTTTCACTCATTTTACAGCTATATTTAATCACAGACAGATCAGTGCAACATAGCCCTTTAAAATTAAATATTAAGACTTTAAATTCTTTTCTATAAAGTGGGATAACGTAAAAGGCAGTAATAGACACAATTAAAGATGGAAGATTTTGAATACTTCCTCTAAGTAGAGAGCTAAGAATAAATTAGTAAATGAACTATAACCACTCTTCTATTGGTTCAGCAATCCATCCATCATATATTCTCTTATGTTTATCCAAGATGTTCCTGAGTATTTCTTTTGTTCAAATAAATGGCATATATTATCCCATAACCATTTTTTAGAACATACAGGGTAAGATATCTGTAGGTGAATACATAAGACTATGACTTACCCACATTCCCAGCCAATAGCACCCTAGCACATGAGTCTGTGTACAGTGATGTCAGAGAAATGGCAGAATGCTTTGTGAAAGGTAGCATATCTTTCAGCAGTTTCCCCTAAATAAAGAATAAGGTAAATAAAAGTTTTTCTGAGTTAATAAATGTATACAATCTTAATTTTTTTCTACGAAAATATCAAAAGAATTCTAACACTGAAATTTTCTTCGTTGTAATAAAAACACTTTGAAGTTATCTCTCAGAACTTATCTTGAGATTATCATAAACACATAAATGTGGTTGCCATTCAGTTGATTCTCAGTCATGGAGGCTCCATGAGCTGCAGTGTAGACTGCTCCATGACGTTTTCTGAGCTATAACCTTTACAGGAGCAGACTGGCAGAACTTCCTCCTGATGCACTGCTGGGGCTGGGGTGGGCATCACACCACCCACCTTTAAATCTGTAATATCTGATCAGCACAGGAGTTTTGATCTGCTCCAGTTCCACCTGGGTTCACCTCTCCTTAGGTGACCTGGTGGTCCCCTGCTCCCAAGAGGACACCATATTGATTCCAAACTTAGTGAGGACACCCAATCAGCATAGCACAGTACAGCCCAGAACTCCTGGACTCAAGTGATCCTCTAAATCTTCCATCTTTATACAAACCGAGTAGCTGGGACTACAGGCATGTGCCGCCATGCCAAGCTACATTTGTAATATCTGATAGCAAATGACTCACATCACTGAGGATCTACTTTCATGTTCAGACAATGTTAATGTTAAACATAAGTTTGTTGCAGAAGGTCAAGGACTGCAGTCTTCAATATGAATTGAAGCTCAAAATCAAGAAAATAAAGATTCTCACTGTTAGGTCAATTGGCAGCACCATAATAGGTGGAGATAAATTACGATTGTTAACAATTTTCTCTTGCTCGGATCCACAATCAACACTCTTGGCACCAGCAGTCAGGAAATCAAAAGACAAGTTGTATTGGGAAAGTCTGCTGTCAAGGACCTCTCCAGAGTGCTAAAGAATGATGATGCCAGTAAGGTGTGACTGATCCAGGCTGTGACCTTTTCAATTACTTATTATGCATCAGAGAGCTAGACAATGACTAAGGATGACAGAATGGTTGATACCTTTAAGTTGTGGTGCTGGAGAAGAATATTGAATATATCATGGACTGAAAAGAGAATAAGTCTATCCTGGAAAGGATGAAACCAAGTTTGAAGGTAAGGATTTTGAAATTTCATCTCACATACTTTGGGTACATTGCCAGGAGGGACCAATCCTTGGAGATGGACATCATGTTTGGAAGGGTAGAGGGTCAGTGCAGGAAAGGAAGACTGTGGATGAGATGGACTAACACAGTTCCTGGGATAATGGGGGTAGGGGTGTCAGAGACAGTGAGTTAGGCTCTGGACAGGGCAGGGCTCAGTGCTATTGTTCATAGGGTTGCTGTGAATCATAGTGGACTCAATGTCAGATATCAACAACTAAGGATTCTTGTTAGTTATCATCATCAGGCTATTTAAGATTCTTTCTTTCGTCATCTGTTCTCCCAGTTCAAGTCCCAGCCCATTCCCTACTTGAACTCATTTAAACTTTTCTGGTAAATGAAAACTACTTTTTCTTTAGAAAATGTTTGAAACCAATCATAACAACATAACGACTTCCAATGTGCATATGGTGGCACTGGGTGTTATGTATTGGCTGCTATAACCAAATAAGTGGTTAAGACTTTGAACCACTAGCTGTTTCTCAGAAGAAAGACGATGTAGTCTGTTTCCTTTAAGAGCTATGGCCTCAGAAACCCAGGAGAGAGTCACCAGCAGTTAGAATTTACTCTATAAAAAAAAATTTACTCTATGGCAATGGTTCAATATGTTTATTTTAATATGTTGTTGTTGTTGTTATGTGCCGTCGAGTCACCTGTGACTCATAGCGACCCTATGTACAACAGCCCTAAACTCC